TCTGTGTTTACGTTCCCAACGATATCTGCTACAAGCGTCTCCGTGACCTTGAAGACCCCACTTACTCTAAGATCTGGGTATTCATAGACATAGGAACGCATAAAATTATTTATTCTTGCGTCTACCGATAGCACAGTAGTGACCAGCAGATAACTAGGCTATTTGGACCATCAGTGAAGCCTATGATGTGGTTCTAAATCGGTACCCTAATGCACAGTTGGTTTTTCTGGGGACTTTAATGCCTGTCATCAGGTCCAGCTGTTCTCATACAAGAAGGCCGACCACGCTGGAAGAGAGGCGTGGAACTTTGACTTGTCGCTGGGACTCTCCCAACTGGTACAACAAGCAACTAGGGTATCTGATATGGATGGACACATAGCCAACTGCCTCGATCTTCTGCTTACGACCGATCCAGACAGATACAATGTTTAGGTTACCTTACACTTGGGAACTTCTGACCACTGTCTGGTAAAATCTGTGTCGTTACATACACCAACCAACTACGATTTCTACGGTATGCGGTGAGTGTGGTGATACAAGTCAGCAGATTAGGATGAGATGCGGCATTCCTTTGCATCTTATCCTTGGTAGCAGGCCTGCTTCTCGTCTGAAAATCCGTCGAGCTTCGCAGACCTTACCATAACCGATGTGATACGTCAAATGATGAAGTATTTCATCACCTTTGCTGAAGTACTCATTGGTGGTAAAGCTCGCCTATGGTTTAACGCCGAGTACGCTCGTGTTAAAAAGCACAAGCATATAGCGTACTTATGTTGGGTCGATGCTAGAGACTGCAAAGCTCCGGATATCAGCCATAAGAAGAAAGCCTTTGACCAAGCCGCCAAGTCTTGCAAAAAGGTATTACGGCAAGCCAGTTTCAACCGCATTATTTAATATATTTTCACTGCCCGCGCTAGTAAAATCAGATGGCTCACTGGCGCATGCTCCTAATGAGAAAGCTGATTTATTTGCTTATCTTTTTGTTTGCAATTCGCGTCTGGACAGTAGTATCAGCGTACCATCTCAATTACCTCACTACGGCATCTCTATGTCAAAGGTCCGTATCACCAAAAAGAAGCTTCGTAAAACCTCGCAAAGTCTAGACGTGAACGAAGTTAGTGGACCGGATGATATACCAGGTATAATTCTTTAGCCCTGACACCTGAGCCGACTCCTGTGTTGAAGCGCTCGTTCCGCGTCTAATTCAGGACTCAAATAATGCCTAAATCTTGGAAGCTGGCCAATGTGCAGCCTGTGCCTAAAAGAGGTAACCGTGCCGACCCTGCCAATTATCGGTCAATTTGAATTACTTTCATACTCTGCATATTATCGTATCATATTATCGAGAGTATAATCTCCTTAGTGACCAGCAATACAGGTTTCGCCGAAATCGGTCTGCTGGGGACCTTCTAGCGTATACCATACACATATGGGGTGAGGCACTCGAGTACAGTGGGGAAGCATTTTCTGTTTCCTTAGATGTCTCTAAAGCCTTTGACAGAGTTTGGCACGCTAGACTTTTGGGTAAGCTACTAGCGTACGGCTTATCCCCTGGCCTGATTGAGTGGGTAAAGGACTTTCTGATTGAACGGTCTCTCCGGGTCGTCGTCGATGGCTGCTCATACAATTCTGTGGCAACTAACGCCGGTGTTCCTCAAGGGTCCGTTCTCTCCGCAACTCTCTTCCTGCTACTTAATTATTATCTGCTAATTCCCGGTATCTATGGGTATGCCAAATAGCACAGTTGTGGAGAGATACCAACCAAGTGCCCGGGCTAGTCGGGATTAAATCCAGTCCGAAAGAAAGGCTATGAATAGAGCATGTGAATCTCACACTACAGGCAGTCTCCGAATGGGGCGATGCCAATCTCGTGAGATTCAACGCCTCCAAAACACAAGCGTGTCTTTTCACCGCTAAAAGGAGCCTGCTCACCCTGGCTCCTACTTTTCTTGCTGCAAAATCCTAACTAGCAGCCTTGGACTCAGGGGAGAGACATACTAAGAGGCTTGTTAGTGACCTTAACTTGGTTGTAACCAACCTTGTCAGCCTCGAGCACAGACGTAGAATAGCCAGCCTCTAGGTATTCTATAGGATGCATTTCGGTGAATGTGCGTAGGAATTGCACGCTTTAATTCCTCCCTTTCCTTTCCACGATCGGACGACCAGGCGATCGGTGGGTCTTCACCCCTTTGTTGTCGATATTCCACGCATAAGAACCAAACGTTTTGATGCGACTTTTTAATGCGTACAGCAAAGGAGTGGAATAATTTGCCGGCGTCTATCTTTCCCTGCGAAAACAATCTGGGCGTCTTCAAGGCAAGAATGAAGAGACTTTTATCACGTTAAGATAGTACGATTTACCATCTAAGGCTGCATAACCACTTACCACCAGGTGGGATTGTGGTCAAGCACTGCCTTATAATAAGTTTTAAAAAAAATGTACGTGTAACTCGTGCTGCAGCTATATTATGGTTGTAGCACAAATGGGTCTGCTCAATCAGAGAAGAACCACGATCTTTCAGAATATCAGCGTTTTTTTATAGAATAAGGGTGACAAACAAGCACACAGTCCACCTGATGAAAAGTGGATGCCGTTGCCCATAGACGTCTACATTTATCCTCGATTAAGGATCAAAACGCAGAAGCGTTGTCACCCATGAGGACTTAGATTGAATGTCTCGTTTCCTATAAAAAGGGTCTCCGGTTCTCTACACTCACCATACGAAACACAGCGCATTTAACTGCTATTTTACGCTGGTATGCTGTGAGAACGTGGTCCTTCCCCATTCAAACCGGCCCATTCGTGCTACAACTATACAATTAATATAGCTGCAGTATGGCTATACCACGTTTAAATACGCATTATTAAAGATAACTCAAAAACTGCTCATCATATCTTGATTAAATATATGGATATGGATCCACACGGGAAGCACCAGCTTTCAGATAAAAAAAAGAAACACCGAAATTGGTTCACCCAGAGAAAAGTTCTAAGGTAACACACAAAAAACATACACTCGAATTGATTACCTCCTTCATTTTGAAGTCGGTAAAAAAACCAATCAGGGGTACTGTGTGCTTGCTGTTAATCCTTATTCTATAAAAAAGGTCAATTATTTGTTTGCCTTTTGTAGCGACTCCGCTTTTAACAAATTCAGTTCCATTGCATTGCAAAGAAACTTGCCCAATTAATTTCTTAAATTAGTAATGAAACAGCCATTTTGTATGATAATTTAAATGACTCATATTTTCAGTGTCCTTTGCTATAATTGAATATGATTGATATATGTTTTCATTTCAATTAACTTTAACTCGAGTTATGTCATTAAATCAAGAAAGCGTTAAAATTGAATACACTTTGTTTATAAACCTGATTGAGTTAAGTGATAAACGAGCTAACAGTCTACCTGATGGTAAGTGATTACTAATGCTCATGGCCACGTGCAAATAAATTCAAACAAAGTATTCTACATATCCATTCATGACTGCCTCGTTGGTTAGTGATCGTAGTAGTGCGACTGCTGATCATGAGGTTCTGGGTTCGAATCCTGGGTCGAGCCAAAAAATCAATTATTGAGATTTTCCGTCAAGAAATTCTCAGTAGCTGCCCGGAGTCAGGAAGTTGGCGGTGTCTCACCCCCGTGCCTCGGAAAGCACGAAAAGCCGTTGGTCCTGCGCCAGATTTCTTTCCGGTCGTGTCGGTTTACCGTTCCATCGGTTTATGACAATGAGAGAATAGAGAGTGCACCTGTGCTTGCGCATACAGTTGGGCACTGTAATCCTGTCCTACGCCGATGGCTAGCCTCCGTTGAGGCAGGCCGCCGTGGTTAAAATTCAGTCTGGAGGACATTATTACTGCCTGTAAAAATCCACAGCTGAACCTAGGCCATGAGCCAGTTAATAGGGGAGCCATTAATTGGCTCATAGGAGAGATTTTGCACAAATTGGCTTGGCAGGCGAGTTAGTTACCGCAGTTTCTTTATTATATTCAGTTGTTATCAGGAAAGTGCTGCTGCTTAACACCTGATTTAATTTTCCTCTGCCGTCTTTTACGATAGCCATGGAATGATATGGCGTAGTGGATATTCTTACACCACCTCTACACGATGTTTAAGAATATCCACTACCCCATATCAGTATTCTACATATGTGTAGTTAATTATTAAGATAAAGATGGAGCCTATAATGAGGGCGGCTGTCCATATCCTGTACACCCGAATACACCAGTCGAAAAACTGTTATTTAGTGGCAAAAGTAGGAAATGCTCTACTTACCGAGAAAGATTCGGGTTGGAGATCGGATTCGAAGAAAATGAGACCCACCATTAAAATATAAATTACTGAAAAGGTAAAATTTGTAATGTCATTGAGAAAATATTGTAACATGTGCATTAAAAGTCATTATATATATGTCAAATAACATTGAGTGATTGTCTGTGATGTAATTTTTTTAATTAGCTAAATTAGAATAGATTAATTAGACTTTCAGTTAACAGCCTGGCCTTTTTGCAATATAGCAAATAGGTAAACCTCCGTATATGATACGTAATAGTAAATGATTTGTGCCTGTGTACTATTTGCTACATTCTATAAATGTATTCGCCGCACCATGAACTACTGTCACTGATATTAAAAGATAGGTTGTCAATACATCGGCTATCTTTCAGGCTTTTTCGTTGAGCTACGCCGTTTAGTAAAAAGGCTAGACTATTAACTGAAAGGCTAATTAAACTAGTTAGCCGTGACATATACTACATATGTATTTTATCATATTTAGATTGAGTAATATTATTGTTTAAAACCAATAGTAGCCAAACGCTAGCTTAAAAAAGGTTAAAAAATTGTACAATAAAATCGCATATTCCATTAGTTTGACAAAATTCAACTCATCAAATTGAATGTTTCACTGTTGAAATCTGTTTATTGTATACTATGTTTCATTTAATTATTGTAATTTTCCCGCTTTACCTCAATTTTAATTAAATTTATTAACTATCCTAGGATTCTTTCCCCAACGTGAGAATCGTCGCTTCAATTCTTTCGGAGCTGTCCAAAACTTCTTCGAAAATCCAAGAAAAACATTACAAACTATCCTCCACTTCGGACCTGATAGAGAAAATCAAAACAGGCCGGGAATAATAAACGGACTAAATTACGATCAATATGGAAGACCAAATTATCCAAACAACTTGAACCCTAATCAATATTACTATGATAGTTTTAACTATCCAGACAGAGATCATAACAATGGTAATAATGTAATATTCGAGCCCAGAGTAACGGACATTCCATTTGAGGGTAGTGTCAGTCCAAACAAAGATACTAATAACTATCCAATTCAATATCCAGGAATATCGAATGAAGAATATAACATAGATATAGTTGAAAATTCTGATAATAAGCCAGGTATTGGAGTGAATTTCGAGGAAAACAGTGAAGGTACCCCGGACACAACTCCAACTGATTTCAATAATGGTAACAATGACAGTGCATCGAATAATGAATTTGGAAATGGTAATATTTTCAACGTGCCACCATCTGAATTCGAAGACAGAAACAACGGAATCCCTAATGTTCCACCACCTGGGTTCGAAGACAGAAACAACGGAATCCCCAACGTTCCGTCACCTGGATTTGAAGATACAAATAATGGGATTCCAAACGTTCCACCACCTGGATTTGAAGACAGGAATAATGGAATACCAAATACCCCACCCGTTACTGATACGCCATTGACGACGCTGGCGCCACTGACCCCGGTACCTGATTCGGATACTAGGAACAACTTCAACTTCGGAAGCCAAGGAATATTCAGTAATATATTTTTTATTTTATTTTTGCAATATTGTGCACTAATGCTTAGAATTTGCAATTGTTTTAAAGCTGAAAAAGGTTTCTAAATTATCGGGTGTGGATTCGGACTATGTTTTAGACTATGCTATTCGTAATGCTTTCGTGATCTTCATATTTATAATCAACTGTATTTTTTTTTTAAATTTTTGTAAGCCTGACTTCGTTCCTTAACAAATAAGCTATCGTCTGACTGGTGTAAGACTGGGATTTTAGCTGCACTGACCGTGCTTTATGGCATTCCTTGGTGTTGGCCTTTGTTCAGCAGTGCACGTTTAAAATGCTGTAATGGTGGTGATGATGATGATGGGTTTTTACACTTTTGTTAACAATATTGCCCACTTACGGTTTTTAAGATTCTCTTAAAATAAGATGAATATATTTAGCATATTATGACATAATGATTGAATCTTTACTCATTATGTTAATTCTAGTATTCAATATATTATACTTAATGACCTTTTTACCGTCTGGCAAAACATAAGGTGTAACATGTGAAAGGAGCCAAGCCTATGATATGATATGATTTGAATTTCGATAGATTTTTATTTATTTATTTATTTAATTCAAAACTTTTGTTTGTGTTTTTGTAAAATATCAGTACCATAGGCTTCTACTTAGTTCACATCTTACACCCTATTTTTTTCTAGACAGTAGAAAAGGTCATCCAGTATATCTTATAATATTGACTACTGACCACTACTAATTTGATAACTTATAATTTTATTGCTTGATTTTTTAACCATCAATACAACAGGAAATGTTAATAACATCGAAATTTTTATTTTATTTTTACAACCTTTTTAATATAACGAAAGCCTTAAAATTTTAGTTAACTAGCAATTAACTTAACGTCAAGATCTGAAGACTACGCTTCGCGGTGTAATACCACAGTAATACTGTATGTAGCTAACTGCGTAAATAACAGACAAATGGTTAATAACAATTAATCTTTAAGCGATGTTGCGACCTAACGTTTTTAACTCCTGTGGTTAACCACTAACGATCTTAAGTATATAATAGTATTGCCTTTACCTACAATAGTAACGTTTTTGAGTAATAGACATATGACAAAATAACTACTTTATGTATACCTATAACGTTACGCCAATTCCCGAGGGGGTAGGCCGAGTTCAAACAGCAGCGAGTTATTCGGATCACGTATAGCCAAAAATGTTTGTTTAGATGGAAAAGGTTAGAATTGATAATGTGGTTAACCCATCACCTACACCATCACAAACTCAATACCACATCAACCGCTTTTTACAACCTGCTAGGCGAGTAACACAATTTTTCGTTACAATTAAGTTAACACGTGGTAGAGCCACGGTGCAGCTATATTACTGTTGCACGAATGAGTTGGCTCGACCGGAAGGACCACGCTCTCACAGAATTCCAATGTAAATAGCAGTTTAATGTTGTGTAGAGAACCGTAGACCTTTTTTACTGGAAATGAGTCGTTCCATTTTAGTTGTCTAGGGTGACAACGCATATGCATTTTAATTCTTATAGTATGATATATCAATAGATGTAGGTGTATATGAGCTACAGCATAGACTTACCACCTCTGACCAACATTGGACCAACACAACTATTGCTATACTTAAAAGAGGCATTGTGAATGCCAATTCATCAGCCAAGCGTAGCTTCACATATGCGTGTTGGCAGATATTGTGTATGACGTATACCTACTAGATATGTGGTGAACTTTATGGAGAGATAATATATGTCAGTTCTTTCTTGTTCTTCTATTTTTATTTTATTTCCTATTGTATTCATCGTTCTCATTTTTTTAATATCTCACTCTCACCTCCCCACACCCTGCCAAATTAGCAGCATCAAAGTTGCAAGACATCTAATGTGATAATCAAGAAAATCCTCGCTGTTTCGTTAGTAATAGATTATTAGAGTACTATTGAAAATTAAAATCTAGATTACACTCTAGATTTGCATCAGAATCAACCTACACGACTAATATTTATTCATTCTATAAGTTCTAAGCCTATCAAAATTCTACTTACTTACCTCCCTATAAATAGTTTCTTATGGTGAGAGGAATGTTTGCAATAGTTTTTTTAATTATTTTGTTTTTTTTTTTTTATCAGGAAGATGCTGCTTTCCGTTTCCTATTTCTATTTTATTTCACATACTAAACGTGATAGTGGTTTCGCCTCCAATACACATGTGATATGAGATTGCAATTTGCAGTTTGTAGACTCCAAAGTCTGTCCTTGATGTTCTTTGATAATTTCGTGTTTTCTGATGCTGTCGGCAATCTAACTCCCTTCTTATCGCCATTAATAGTATAGTTGTACCAATTGCCTGCAAATGCTAAGTTTCGTCATCGATATGTCGTTTAATAGTAAAATTTGTTTGATTTCAAATAAGTTGTTTATTCAGTAGTTTTTTATTGTAACATCATGTCCTTGAAAAATATTTTTTCACAACCGTGCGTACTTACTTCCTTGCATTGTTTTCCTCGCGGCTGAGCATGACTTAATTAAGTACTTAATTAAGCACAGAGATTAGTTATTATTACCGTGCAGTTGAAGTATTAGAATATAATATAGTAGGTGTCGTAAGTTCTTATAGAGCCCATAAGCAAAGCCACTACTAAAGTCTTAGTCAATGCGCTGCGAAGCTTTCAATACTTCTTTTTTATGCACATCTATGGTAAAATATATCGAATTATAATTCGATATATAATAACTATTATTCAATGTATATTCTAGTTGTATTGCGCCTTTAAATTACAAATGTTTCATTCCTCTCCTTTAAACAAAAATAAGTACTTAATTTTTCAAATTTCTAACTGACTGTTTACCGTGTAGTAGCGGTTTAAGAATATCCACTACCCCGTATCTTCCCGCGGGTGTCGTAAGAGGCGACAGAGGGAATCAAATCAGGAGATGCGCAGTACAGCCTGCTAATAACGACTAAAAATAAAAGACTGCGGTTGCCAACCCGCTTGCCAAACGTGGCAACTATGGCAAATATCCCCTCTATGTGGCAATCTATGGGGGAGGCGTATGTTTATCACGACTTATAATAGTTGGACGATCTTTCCTTGACTTGCTTTTTATACACTCGATAGCTATAAAAACAATATCGTAATTTAAATATTAATATTCTCATAAATATGAATGTACAATAACATAGTTTATTAAATAAAACCTATATGAGTTCTATTTATAAATTACAATAAACCAGGTAAAAATAAAAGATATAATAATGAGTCAACAATTTGAAAATACGTTAAATTACAGGCTATGAGTACAATTTCATTGTTATTTAATATTGTGCCAGTTAATGTGTCGCAATCACACTTTGCACGGCGTTTTACGTTTGATTTAAAAAGAAATCGAGCGTAAAAATAATAATTTCTGTAAGTTATTTGACGGGAAAGGTACACAACATTTGTACTTTTTATGGGTTGGTCCAAAAGCCGTAACTACAAGATAAGCCTTATATTTTGTCTTTTCTTTTCCGACGTACATTTTTTTAATTATGTGCGAGCAGCTTTGCAGGTCAGGAGAGAGACCAGTATCACTGCGACCTAAAAGATATATTATGATCGCTGCTATGGCTATAGTTCATTGCTAAGCCCCACGTCTTCAATAAATGAAAGGAGTTTCTTTGCTGTGAGCAATTTCACTTCTTCTGGTCGGAGTAGATAATTTCCCAGATGAGTGTTGCGTTCGCTCATTAAGGGGCTGCAATCATTCAGGATGTGCATAGGCGTTTATTCTATTTAGGAATAGAACCGGCATATCCGTGAGTGGCTTAGTCCCAGAATGAACATGTGCTTTTGAAGACAACAGTGTCCAGTCAGGGCTCTTGCCAGAATGCGCAACTGAAGCGAATTTACAATCAAAAGTCCGGATTAAGTTTTAAGAATATTTAAGCCTGATATGTCAGACCAGATCTTAAGTAATTTATTGTGATAAGAGTTTTGAAGGGTCAATCGGGCTAGATTTTTTAAGGTTCCACATAGTGGCTCGGCTCCAAATTGTGTGCTATTTGAGCCCTCCCGTGCAAGCTTGTTGGCAAATTCATTGCCTACAATACCCGCGTGACCCGGAACCCATCTTAAAACGACCCTTTTCTTACATCCCAGGGCGCTTAGATGGTTCACATCAAGTCTGACCATAGCGCTAGCAGTGCTGCTTGACACTCAGAATTTATACAGATTATATGGTTAAATATCAAGGGGCGTTAGGCATAGAAGTACATTAGGAGCTGCTCCACGCGGTGATCGCATCATTCTAGTTGCCATTAAACGGGCAGTCCTTTGTAGCTTATTTAGTCTGTCCGCAATCGTCTTTTGTTTGGCCTTATTACTCTATACAGTGGAGGCGTAGGTAAGAATCGGTGTCACTTTGCTGCTGTATAGACTTAGAATTATACTGGAACGCAAGCCCCAGTTGTTCTCGACCAAATGACTGCACGTACCTAAAGCAATAGAAAGTACCTAAAGCCTTATGACATACGTTGTTAAGGTGAGAGTTCCACGTTAGTTTTTGGTCCATTGTTACGCCCAAATATTAACTGATAAACTGTTATCCCCACACCAGTTATTTATGGTGTTTAAGACTCTTTGTATGATCAACGATAAAGTACTTTGGCAAAAGCCCCTCGCAATTATCACAAGGATCATCGGCATGACCTAGTGTGTCAATGCAAAGGTCTGCTTTCTTGTATAATAGTCGGTCAACGCCAAAAGTCCAAAGAAGGGGTGACAAAACACCTCCTTGTGTGTCCTTCCAAAAGTCTTATGTGACTCTGAGAAATGGGTTGACGCTAGTAACTCCAATGATTCCGTTTCACTAGTAGTGAAGCTACCATCAGTCTTTTTAAAAAGCCCGATTTGATTAGGTTTAGCTTTTGATAGCATTTTGCGTAGTCTTGCACTGCGAGGCAAAGACTCTACTTCCTCTCTTAGCTTTCCTAATTTCTTTATCATA